TTATGACTTTACATTCTACAGAATACAAAAACTTCAAAACAAAAAATTGTTTTGAATTGAAAGGAAGACACATTTCTTTCAAAAAAATGTCAAAACAGGACATTTCAATACTGCTGAACTCCCTTCCCTCCCCCTTTGCCCTCTTCTCCACCAAAACAAGGTTCTGACAAGAGACAATTTTGCAAAAAGTGTTTAGATTTACCTGGAACTGCATTCTGATGGAAAACTGGTCCATCCAAGTTTTTCTGAACACCGCTAATTAATATATATAAAATAAAATCAGGAAGTCAAAATGATTTTAGAATTTTGCCCTAAAATCTCATCAACATACCCATTCCTGCGGAAATATTTTGATTTGGACAAAACTGCATTTTCCAATAGAAAACTGTTTTGTTAAAAAAAAATTCAACCAGCTCTAATTGCTATGTTTTGTGGCCTGTACCATGCAGGGGATAAAACTAACCTAGAGGATCATAATGGTCCCTTCTGACTTAAGTATCTAGGAATAAATAAAGTATATTTTGTGCTTTTATTTCAATAAAGGTATTACTTGATATCTACACGCTTCTGAATATACGTTAACTAATAAAAGCCCTAGACATGTATAAACCTTGGTTTAGACAAATAAGGTGGGTAATATCTTATCTGATCAGCTTCTGTTTGTGAGAGACAAGCTTCCCAGCCACACAGCTCTTCTTCAGGTCCGGGAAAGGAACTCTCAGCATCAGGGCAAAATGTAATGTTGAACAGATTGTTTAGTATTCAGCACATATTGTAAGGGACCATTCAAGGTATAATGGCCCATTAACACCTCTGCAGTTATAGGACAAAGAGAGAGGGTTAGATTATTGTTACAATAATAAGCCATACATTTAGCAAAAGAAAAGGAGTACTTGTGGCACCTTAGAGACTAACCAATTTATTTGAGCCTAAGTCTCTAAGGTGCCACAAGTACTCCTTTTCTTTTTGCGAACACAGACTAACACGGCTGCTACTCTGAAACCATACATTTAGATGGCCATTGTAGCATGGCTCAAACAGTATTAATATTTGTTACCCAAGTGCTTTTTTTTTTTTTAAAGCACTATTAATATTGTGAGTTTCCAAGACAACCACCCCCCTGTCAGAGCCACAACGATTTAGTGGCATGGAGGCAGATTACCCAGTATGCAGAGGTACCTTGCAGACTGCAGAGCTGGGCTCTGCACCAGTTCCTGGAAGGCCACTTCAGAGTGGGGAGATGTTGCCAGTATGTTGGCAGACTCAGCTCAAACTCCTGTAGATTAAGTACATGCAGATCTCAAGGTCTATTCCAGCTAGAGGCTGCCTTGCTCATTACAGACTGCCATCTGCCCCAGTGAGCAGTGGCTAGATGTCTGGCAGTAGCCACTGAGGCAAGGTTGGTTTAGAGGATTAGGGGTTCCCCTAGGAGCATGGGGGCACTGCTGGGGCAGAACCCTGTGGTAAAGGGCACTGGGGTCTGGGAGGGACATGGCTGCCTGAGGCAGGTGAGCCACCAGCCTACAGAGGGTGCTCCAGGCTGGAATCGAGCTAATTCACACAACAACCAGCAGGAGGCGCTGCACCGGCGAGCATCACTTCGCTACACTTACCCTGATATGAAATGTTCTGTATCTGCAAGACAACTTACACAGTCAACATTTCTAAGGCACAGCATACACTAACATATCTCAACTCACCAATAAGAAGTTACTCTTAACATATTTTTAAAGCTCATTTAAAGATATATTCCCCATCAATGGGGTCTGTTCTCCCATTGGATGACAGCTACTTCCACTAATGCTGCGTTAAGAGCACTATTCGTCCCCATACACAGATGGGAGCCTCAGATCTCGGTTGTATTTCCCACCAAGAAAACTGCATCTGACCTTGTTTCCTGCAAACAAAGTTGAAAACTGCTGTACTCTTGTGTAGACAGGGGAAACTACATTTCATACTTGTAGGAAAGTGATGTTTGACTATCAACAGCAGTGAGGCTTTTCCCAGCACACTGACTTGGGAGAAATTGCCATGCCCAACTACCACTGTTCTGTAGAGAAGTGGCTTTAGAGAGATGGGGTCTGGGTGTGAAGAGATATGCAAGTTTGCTTATTAAACTGATTCCCAAAAGCAGCCTGTTAGGAAAGCATTTATTTTGCATCTTCATTAGTTCAATGAAGAAAATACTGGCAAGGTCGGTAAATTTGTTACACTCATACTGGAAACTTCTTGAAATTATGTCTAAATTGAAAAGTTACTGCATTTTTTCCTAAACACCTGCATAGACCTCACTATGTAGACTCTGATTTTATTTTACACTGAATTAAAATTAACTTGTGCATAATTAAAAATGAAAAAAACTTTCCTTTTACACAAAATACCATATCACCCCCCACAAAGCATTACGTATCAGTTTATGGTTTTAGCACTGGGATACTAAGCAACCAGTTAAGAATTACAGTTTAGTGGCAAGAGCTCTGTGACCAACAGAAAGAGTGAAGTTTCATCCATTGTATGCAACAATTTGTATGAATTACCAAGAAGTGTATTAAAAAATTAGTTTACAGCAATTGCATGTGAGGTTAATTCCCCCAACATCTTAAGTTTCTGCAGAGCAGGGTGGTGAATATGGTGGGAACATATTAAAGTTAACGATTTGCTACATGATATGAATGCAATACTAATCAAAAGGGTGGTATTTACTGCACTGTCAAATTCCACATTTGCAAATGCAAACAAGAAATTAGATACAATTTTTATTTCTGTGACCAAAATTAAAAATATCTTTAACCACAATTCTGCTTCATCACAGTGCGGAATATTTCAAGGATTTATTGAGGCATATCTTTTACATACAAAAGTAGAGATTGAGGAAAAGCCAGAGTAGTCTATACAAAATACAGTCTGTGTACATTCTGAAGCTGTACCTTCTCAGTAGCTGTTTATACATTTTTCAAACTGATCCCTTACCCAATGATTTAGAATGTTTTATATCATCAGAATTTCTAGATTATAAGAACCATTAACATTGAGCGCATATATTTATACCCTTCAACTGTCAATCCAGATGGCTGAAAGAATGTGACCTAAACTGGGTTTGCACAGTTTTGAGGGACAGACTAACAGAGGAACTCACATGGTCTGAAATGGAGATCTTAGCATAGGATAACCGGCCCGGCTGCAGTGTATTTAAGACTAAAAATCCCAGGTGAAATACTGGCCCATCTGAAGTTAACGGCAAAACTCCCATTGTTCTGCAACACCAGGACTTCACCCCTTGTTTTTGAGATGCAACACTTAGGGCACATTTTCTTGCTCTTCATATTCTTTTCAGATACTGCACCCACAAAAAAGTTAAAGAACAAATGGAACAAAAGCAAACATCTTTTAAAAAACACTGAGTGGTGTTAGGGGAGAGCTAAGCAGTGCTCTGAGCAAAAGACACTGAAGTGAACATGAGCGAGTTCATACTAAAAAAAATGGCGAAAATTATCTTTATCCAAAATGGAGACATTATTGCTGCTACACTTCTGCTACTGGCTGAAAAACGGAATGACATGGGAAATGGCGACACTGTGAAATGAACTATAGATGCTTTTAAAGCTCTCTACAGACTTTTTTGTCCTAAATATACTGCAGCGTTAACAGCTATATTGAAACAGTTTTACAGTTTCAAAGGAAAACAAGCGTTGTGTAGTTTAGAAAGCAACTCCAGAAGTTAATGAAGACCCCAGTCTGAGGAAAAATTATTTCCCACTATCACATGGAGAAACAGTTCTCACTACAAACCTCATCTTCAATTAATAATTTAAAGAAAAACCCACCAAACCCTTCTGTTGCATATCTGAAACAGAAATTCTTTTCAGCACACTTAGGCCCCAGTCCTGCAACTGCATCGGAATGAGCTGACCCCGAGCTTTCACAAGACAGTACTTAAGTCATCAGCAGTGACTCACCACATTTACAAGAACATTTCAGGAGTATTCAAAACAGTAAATGTTAGTACTATAAGAAATGCTCAACTCATTTCTTAAAAGGATACAGAGACACTGGCTCTTCAAGGTACCTTTCCCAACGTGCTACTTTACAAATTTAAATTTAAAGCATTTCTTTCTGCATCATCTGTGCAAATGTGTATCTGTAAGTATTATTGCACATTAAAAAAAGCTTTGTAGTGAAAACAGGACTGAAGACATGGCATTCTCCAAACAGAACAAAAAGCTATCTGTACAGTAAATGCTAATTTAAGAGAATGCCAAGATTTAAAATCTAAGCACATAATACTGACAAAATGTTAAACTGGACAATATACATAAATTACATTTGCAAATACTTGTAGAAATTTTAAACATTTAATACTCTTAATTTCACAAATCAGCTAGATCACTGTCAAACAAAGGATCTAATTAATGAATTAAAAAATGTCCCCCCCACCCCCACCAGAAAAATATCATTGAGAAACAAAAAGGAAAAGAGAAACAACCTGCAATCTTAGACAAAGCACTGGAAAGAGTCAAAGCATTTCAGCTTATAGAGGTAGTACTAGCCACATCCAGCTAGAAATACATTATATTTGTACTATGATGAAATAACGTAGTAAAATGTAGAAAGACTATAAAATTTACAAAAATAAACAGTTTTGAATGCTTTAGAAAATGCAAGATACTTCACTGACAAGTGTCTTGAGTCTGCTTTTCCAACCAAATGGAAGTGACATTTGTTTTAATATTTTTAAAATATACCTATATCTCTAGTAATGCTGATGGATTTGCACAATCAAAATATGCAACTCCAATGTATGCCAACTTGGCATGTATTTTAATATTAAAAATAAAATCTAGGCTTCATAAGAGACTCCCATATGAAATTCACTTTGTATGTAAATTCTTCTGAAATTAAAAATTGCACATAAACATTTATTCAAAGGGGGTGAAGGGGGTGGCGGAGTAAGGATATGTGCATGTTTTTATGTCAATACACACACATGCACCCCCAGAAGGAAAAAGATGATTGCACAATTTCTCAAATAAATAATTTCATTTTAAAAACTGCCACTTTTTTTTGATTTTAACTGAGACATTTTAAGAACTACTTGTGGACAATTGTGTTCTGTTTTAAAAGAAATTCCTTGCAGCTTTCCCAGCCAGTGGCTTTATCCTCAAACCAATGTTAAGTGGCAGTACGGAAAGTATCTTTGGTTAAAAAAAAATAAATATCAAGATCCAACAAGAATTTCCATGATATGGTCCAACTCACTCAAATCTGTTCTACATATTGGAATATTGTTTGCTGAGGAAGAATTGCAAGATGGGAAGCTTTTCAATGTTTCTTCTGTAGCAGCAGAAGGTGGTCTAGGTGCCATTAGTGGGGGAGAGCAGAAGTCTGAATCATACATTGAAGTGTCAATATCCTCAAAGATGTCATCTATAGCCAAATCTTTTAAGTAACTGGTTGAATTCGAAATTTCAAAGGAACCAAATACACATTCTGCTCCCTTCAAATCTTGTCTATCATCTTCTAGTTTTAGACATGTGTTTTCTGGAGACTTCGGCTCATCATCTCCAGCTGGAACCAAAGAAGTAGGTGGACTTATATCTTCCATGAAGTCCAAATCCTTCAGAATAGATGAAATGGCAGATGACATGTCATCATCTGAAACCATCAGCAGGCTATTTTCAATTGGGCCTTCTGAGGACCACGAGTTACAACAGTTAGACTCTTGCTGGTTACTACCTGAAGGCAAATGTAAAGAAATTCCAGATGAATCAATTCCTGGGTAGCTGTGAGGATTGGGAGTATGCCATTGCATACATTAATTGGCTGCTGGCTACTCTCTTGTCTCATTTCCTCCTGAATTTGCCTTACTGTGTTGGCTATGAGCACAGAACGGTGTAAGTTTGGTTCCACCAGCATTTTGTAAGTTTGTAGTTTAGTGAGGCACATATTCAGCACTAACTGCCTCTTAAGTGGATAGGGCAGATTTCGACTGGAATCAAAGGCACTTGAGAGACCAGCCACGTTCTCCTCATAGTCACTCAGCTTGCGTTTTAGGCCTCTCCCCAACATGAACCTGCAAAAAGAAAAATTCTAGTCAATCTTTTATACTTTTAATTAAGCATCATTGGGAAAACACCACACTTTTGCAAAAGCTACATCCCTAACAGTGGGCAGTGGGGATAACGGAAACAGTTTATCTAAGTTAATCAATGCTAATGAGAGCTGATCACACATAGCTATTAAAAAGGGAGCATACCCTCTCTTCGCCAGACGTTTTTATTTTTATTGAGAAAGATGTACTGTTTTCCCAACTAGATTCCCTAATAATCCTTACAATTTTAGATTGGAGAAAAAAAAATGTCAGCTATTTAATCATGAGATGTAAATTGTATTTAACAATAGTGAAAACTACAAAAAATTACATCAACAGGACCATACTGAGGCTCAGGATGGATAAAAGTTAATTTAAAAAAACCCACCCCCCCAAGTTTTTTGGATAAAATGCTTTTTGAGGAAATAGGGATGATAAATTCGAGATTCTATAGTATGAGATAATATATTCATGTAATGCTTAAGAAAAAGTTTTGTAAATGAGTTCCAATAGTTCATGGATTAGGGTTCCACAGGCTCTGTATAGATTATTTAGGTTAATCTTTTCTATCTACCCAAGTGGGACTCAGTGCTCAGTCTAGAGAAGATACCATCAGAGATGCTTAGTTTTGCAGTTCTCAAACTGTGGGTGTGTGTCTCCAGAGGTAACATGCTTGTTAACAGCAAAAGTGTTTTTAAAATATATAAAGGTGAGAAATGACAGATCTCAACTCTGTACACAAATTTGCAACAGACAATAGAGTCAATCCCTTACCTCTCTCTGAAAGTGCAAAGTTTCAAAACGTTCAGTGAACAGAAAGATTTTTGGGGTGGAATAGATCTGGACAAGGAGAAAGTCCAGAGATAAATGTGAAGAAGAGAGGAACATATGCTCGTTTTTTAAAACTATTATAGGTTTGACGTTGAAGGAAAAATCCACAATGAATAACATTGTTGTTTTAGTTAAATAAAACAATTTAAATGCCTGTCTGGTGATGTTCTCCTCCTAATACAGTCTGGAAGGAAAATCCTCCAAATATTAATGATTAACCTGCTGAACGGGAGATATTTATGAAGTCATTGGGAGGTGAACTATCTGCTTCAATTACCTTTGGTAAAGAAAACCCAATCATTCACTTTCTGATATAGCTGTAAAACTAATCTGAAAAGTTTTTCAAAATAAATTACTGTTTAAAAAATGTATAGTGTGTACCTTCTAAAAATGAAACCCTACATCTACCTCTGAGTTGTGAAGAGAATGTATTAAGGTTATACCAACCAACAAGAATGCACTTTTATGTAGAAAACCATGATTAAATAGAAGGTCTTCCTGACTAGTGATTTAAATCAAATCCAACCTATTGAAGCTTTTTATCGCTGCAGAACTTCCCAATTAGACATTTTGTAGGCTTACTAGGCCAAGTATTTTGGAATAGAGCTCACAACCCCTTTCAAGCTAGAAAGACAGGTTTCTTGAGGAATTCAATAAAGATAGGAAAAAGAGTCACAGCTATGCTGCCAAGTACACAGAGGTTCATTATTATAACTGCCCTAGCTATATTGAATATTTCAGAATTTGCATTATATTATTTACTTGTTAGTGGACAATATAGTTAAAATTGCTAAACAGGTTTCATTAACCTTTATTTTTATATGGTCAGAACTTTCTAAAAATATACCTTGCAAGCAGAAATTTCCTTTCCTGAGTCCCTCCTCTCCCAACTGGAACACACATTGCCCCAGTTGAGTTCAGCACCAGTCCCTCCTTGTGCCATGAAACTTACAAGATGGATTTTGAGACTTAGGACATACAGGTAGTAGCTCTCACTGAGTAGATCAGCCACTAGGCAGGGTAATATAATAAAGTTGCGAGTTCCAGAAAATTAGCTACTACACTCCCACAATAGAAAACCGTATTCAGTCAGTGTTTGAGACACAAGGTGGGTGAGGCAATGTTTTTATTGGCCCTGCTTCTGTTTAGGTGAGAGACTAGCTTTCGAGCTTACACATAGCTATTCTTCAGCCCAGACCTGAAGAAGAGCTCTGTGTAAACTCTAGTGATCCTGGGACTGACATGGCTACAACATTTCAGTCAGTGTTCATATGTAGATGTGCTCCCTACATATGTACATGTGATATTAAACCCCATTTAATGTATGCCAGTAAGCACCAGTGAGCCCCAAGGGCTTAAACGTGTTTAAATTCCTTCATAAATGCAAACTTCTCAATGGATGTTGTCAGCACTTATGTTGCCTTAAGATATTACACCAGGGATTTCAAGCCATTTATGTGTGGATGCGACTAAATAGTCAGACAATTTAAAGAAGTACAGGCTGTGGAAAAGGCAGCAGTGAAGAAAGTCCAGATATGCCAGGCAAGGGAATTTGGCTGCAGGACAGCCCCCTTTCCATTGCTGGTCAGAAATCTGCCAGTCATTGCACCAAACAGTGCAATTTTGATTTATGGTTAAACAACTTTTCTGGGGACTTCAACACTCCAGACTACTCTCTAACTCCAGAACGAAAAATAAGCCAGAAGCCTACAGTCTCACTTAATGAACTAAGTGGGGAGTAGAACGCATCATGCAGGTTTCATTTCCAAATAGAAATAGAGCAGTAGAAACACATTGAAGACCCTTAAGGGGGAAAAACAAGCCTGCTGCTTCTCAGTGACCTTTACTAGAAGAAGGTAAGTGGAATTGCATGGCACCAGAGATGACAGCTGCAGGCTCCTGTGGGCTCTCGCTTGTAGATGATCCCACAGATGTTTAAGGCCCAGAAAACAGAAGTATCCATCTTGGACTCCCCAGCTAAGTTCCCTACATGCTGCTGGGCCACGCAGCAACCTATTTATCGCTCAGGAAGCTACCCATATTTAGCATGCAAACACTCAAGGGAACCTGCCGGGGACCTGCTGCAGCTGGGGTGCCCCTCTCCCCAACTTAACCCAGCCCCCAACCTACTGCTGCAGCCCTCCAGCCCCAACTATGCTGCAGCTTGAGTGTCTCTCCCATGGCTTGGCTCCACCCTGGACCTGCAGGGGCTGTTCCCGGGCGCTATCCTGTGGCCCTTGCCCTAGAGCTTGCACAGCAGGGAGAGAGGCGCCTCTCTCTCTCTTCCCCTTCCCCCCACTGCTGTAGGGAAGAGAGAGCGCTAGGGAGAAGTTCTCACCCCGAGAAGCGTAGCCCCAGAGCACC